GTACACTTTAAAATGATAAAAACAGCAAGATTTCTGTTATGTGTGTTATACCACAATTAAAAAGTAGTGATAATAATAACAAATGCTCTACAGCGTTTGCTCAGTGCTAGACACTGTCCTAGGTGCTGTTTCTATCTTGTCTTTCGAGGTTGCCTCACTCTTGCAATTTACAGAATGGGGAACAGGCACTAGGGGAGTTCTCCCAGGTCACTGGTGAGGAAAGCTGACACCCCTGCTTCACTGGCAGACAGGCGCCCCTCTGGGCCTCCCTCCCTCGCACCCATCTCTGTTCTGCTTAATGACGTTCAGCAGAACTTTCTCTGTAAAACCACTTTTATATGTACACCCCGTCCACCCTGTACCCAGCGATTCCTCCTGCTCTGTCAATAGTCTGACCTTTATTTGCCTCCCTCAGTTGGGATCTTCATGTTATTTCTTTTCATTTTGGAATGTTATAGCTTCTTCGAAAAACAGCTTAGCTTGGATGTGTCTGGAGTTAGTTCCCGGGGAGGGAGGCCGGTGCGTTCCTGGCTGGCCCTTTCTGGGTGCGTGCCCAGGAAGGGGAGCTTGGCAGTTTCCCCTCACCCCCCTGTTTCTGGGCCCTCCCAGCCTTCTCTCCCACCTGCACCCAGCCTCTCCACCTGGACGGACCTTGGACATTGCCCGGAAAGGATACCATGCCGGGGCTGACAGTGACCAACACGTCCTCCAGTGGGAATGCGGCCAGGGCTCGTGGAGCCAGCCATTTCAGGAGCTGCACACACACTGTCTCACCCCATCCTCAAACATCCACGAGGAGGGACCTGCCCCCTGACCCATTCACAGATGAGGACCCTGAAGCTCCTTGCCACGCAGGCTCTGGTGCTGTGGTCCAGATCTGCTGCCCACGCCAAAGACCTCCAGAGCCTGGCCACGGCGTGGGATATCCCGGGTGAGCGGGCCAAGATGTCGGCAGCTGCCAGGGGCTGGGCAGAGCCCCACTCCTCTCACCAAGTCCTATAGGTGGACACTGCTGCCCGAGAGCCACATGCAGCGCCCACCTCCTGGCAGATGAACTGAGTGAGATGAACCGGGGCACAGGCTGGGCAGCTGAGCGAGTGAGTCCTCAGTTTCCCTCAGCCTCCTTTCCACTTCAGCTGGGGGCCAGGCCCCTAGCTGCATCCTCACTCCCTACCTGGCTGACCTGCCCACACTCACATCCTGTCTCCTCGTCCCATCACGGCCAGGCCTGACATCTCCCCAGGGAAGTGGGTTTCCACAGCGGCCTTGGGGCCAGCTGGGGGTGGACCACCCTCATCACCTCCCCACAGCCTTGGAGGTGCCCCACCCATGTCTGGACTGGGTGCCCTTCAAGTCTGGGCGCAGGGGACTCTTCCTCCAGGAACCCCTCTCGAAACTCCCTCCTCTGAGTCAGCGTTTCCGGCTTCCTGTCCTTGCTCTGGGCTGATGCACCTGGAGGAGGGGACATCCAAACTCCCCTCTTGCACGTTGGGCAGGCGGGGCTGTGCCAGCCCTTCTCTGCTCCCTGGCTTCTCTGGCATCCGGCATCCCGCTGTGAATGTGGCCTGGCTCAGGGCTGTCTGAGCCACATTAAACCCTTTTGTTATTAAAATGTTCCATTGGCCCTGGGGGAGACAGTCAGGGAGTAGTATCTCAGGCCTCTGCCGGGCAGGTGGGTCTGCTCCAAGGCCAGAGAGCTCCTTGAGCTGTCATTCCAGGTTGGACAGCAGGGAGGGTGTGGCTAGGGGTCTGAAGCGGCCAGTTGGCCTAGTCTTTGCTCCACACCTCCAGGCCCCTCCGGGCTCAAACCCCCTCCAGTCTTTGACCTTGGGCCCATCAGGGCCACCTGGGCCTCCTGGGGAGTGCTGGAGACTGTGAAGCTGAGCAGAAGTGACAGGCTCCTGTTTCCCCATCTGGCAACTTCTGGGCCAGGGACGAAGAGGGGGGAGCCTCAGGCTTGAGGCAGTCTGGGCTGGACCCAGCAGGAGGGTCCTTCTCATTCGGCCCACCCATGAATGGTGCTGCAGGGGGCCCCAGAGATGGTGACATGGCATGCAGGGTCACTGCTGTTCCAGAGTGGCCACACTGTGGGCAGCCCTGGGTGGGGATGAAACCCTAGGTCTGGCAGGGTTGCTGGTCATCCTGGAATGTGATGGGGCACAGGGTGTGCCGCCTCCTAGTTGGCCCAAGGCCAGGTACCTGCAAGACACCGGCTGGGAGCTCTGGGTGGGGACTCAGGCAGCCTCTGGCCTGTCCTTCAGGCCCTGGATGGGCACTCTCTCTGCAAACTGTCCTGTCACAGGGATGCCCATCACAAAGTTGTGCCCTGCCCTCTGCCACTCCCCAGAAACTCCAACTGCAAGCCGGGTGATCTGGGCTCTGTCCTCCCCATGTTTGGGTCTCTACTGGTGGGTTGCTAGAGGCAGAGTGCCCTCCATGACTACCCGCTGCCTGGAAACCCACCGCCCAGTTGCTAAGGGCCCAGCTGACCCATCCGACCCCAAGTACATAAAAGGGATGCTGGGATCCAAAGGTCTAGCCACGGGGTGCAGAGGGGACCAGGGCTTGCCCCTCCCTTCGAGGGGCTTCCCAGAAATGGCATCCTGTCTGGCACGCCCTGCTGGGGTTCTGGGGCTGAGGCTGAGCTGTGGCCTGTGTGCACATTCTGCCTACAGTCTCCCAGCTGTGCGGCCTGTGTCCCTTCTGTGCAAAGGGAGAGTGACTACCCAGGGCGGCATGAGAGCCAGGTGCAGGAGGCCTGAGGGCACTGGTGCAGGGCCAGCACTGCAAGCTCTCGGGTGGGGTATCATGACTTCGCCATCATCCCCATCTCAGCTCCCTCTTCCAGCCTCAGTTAAAAAAAGACCAGGGCCCTGGGCAGCAGGCCCAGGCCCAGACTGGCCCCTCCCCCCCCCCCCCCCCCCCCCCCGTAGGCCTGGGTTCATAAGAGGGGCCCACCTCAGAGGTCAGAGGGAGGAGCACACTGAGGGGGTGTCCTCCAGAGCTGTCCTGCAAGCAAGGAATGCCCTGTCCCTGGGGGCATGCCAGCAGACGCTGTAGGGAAGTGGTGGGGGCCTCAGGGACTTCCTGACCTCAACACAGGCTCCCAGCAGTTGTCTGAACACTGCTGGGAAGGGTCCCAGGCAAGGACCTTGTCCCTGAGAACTTCGGAGTGTTCCGAGACTCAATTTTCCTGTCGCAAATGCAATTTGGAAACAAATCCAATAAGCCTGCGTGCCCGCTGCCCTAGCTCAGCCACCGCTTTGTTCCCATACAGGGCAATGCCCACCCCGACACATGGCCGTACCCATCCTTCCAGAGAAGCCTAACTCCCCGAGTCCCCTGCCATCGGTCTAACTGGGGATTCATGCCCAGAGATCCCAGGAGGCCTAAGGGGCTGTGTAGGACAGGAAAGGGCCAAGGGGGCACTGATCACTCCCAGCACCTGGCGTCAGGCCAGGTGTGATCACGGCAGCCCCACACAGTGGCCGGCATAAACCCACTCCCCAAATGGGAAAACTGAGGCTCAGGAACTGCCCAGCCACATGGTAGAAAGGGCAGGGCCAGATCCCAACCCAGGAATCTTCCTGGGTGTCTTCACCCGCTGAGCACCTCCACCTTTGGACAGAGGGTGGAGAAGTAGGGTGTCTGTGGTTGACAGGTGGGGGCCCAGCCCCCTGATAGGCAAAGTCTTGCTGGTCCAGTTTCAATGTGGACTGGGTCAGCCCAGAGCCTCTGTCTCGGGGACCATGTCTAAGGGTGAGTTGGAGTGGGACCCCCCCCCGCCCGCCAGCCCACGGTCATCCAAGGTTGCCAAATGCTGCTCCAGCCCGTGTGTTCCCAAGGGTTCTTGGGTTGGCAGGTCCCTGGGGAATTGACCCCAGGCAGCTCGGCCCTGCTCTGGGCACAGGGAAGAGTGTGTGAAAAGCAGGTTCAAAATAAAAGCTGGATAGTGGTCCCACGCTGAGTGGGCCCTATATGTCTGCTGCCCTCTGGGGAAACCAAGGCACAGAGAGGCTCGAGGACATTCCTCAGGCCACAGCAGCCTTGAGGGTCCCTTGACCTCCTGCCCTCAAGGGCGGGCTCTGGCTCGGCCTGAGGTTGGGGAAGTCTCAGGCTGCTCTCCCCAAAACCCGTGTTTATGAAGCACCTGTCTATGCCAGGACATATAAATGCCATCAGCGTAGTGAGGGGTGACAGTGCCAAGAGTCAGGGCCAAAGGAGGAGGGCACTGCGAGGCCAAGAGTGTCAGGCAGTCTGGCTGGTGTGTCTGAGGAGGTCCTGAGGCTCCGGTGGCCCTAGTGGGGGCGGTCCTAGACTGTGCCAGGAGAGGTGGGTGTCCTGCTAAGAGGATTGGGGTGAAGGGTCCTGTGGGAGGAGCCGGGGCTAGACCGGTCAGGGGCCATCCAGGCCCGAGTGCTGCCTGGCAGAGGAGGGAGAATCCAGGAGCTGCCGCCCCGCCCCCTTCAACGGCATTTCTCGGCCAACTGCGCCCTCTGCTGCCCATGTGGCGCATCAGCATCGCTCCCGCGCTCAGGCTCCTCCACCCAGAATGGGGAATGAGGAAATGTGCCCAGACCAGGCATACTTCCTGTCCCTCCATATCTCAGCCATGAGCCTGGCCCTCGGTGGCTGTGGGGACACTGTCCCAAGAACATGACCTGCCTCCTCATATGTGGGGCACATGTAGGCATCTGACTTCAGGCACCCATGGGAGGCTGAATTCAACTCCCCATCAAAGACACATCACCCCTCCATGCCCAAAGGGAGACCCTCACTGGGACAAATAAGACAAGCAGGAGGCAAAGGGACCTGGCCTCGGGCCTCTGCTCCCTGGTACAATCAGGTGCAATGCCTCCTCCAGCCAGAAGGGGCCCAGGATAGGTAGGGTTGCGGCCTGCCTGGCCCTTTAAGAGGGCCCCTGAGGGAGGGGCCTCCGTTGCCCAGCAACAGGAGGGCTTGGCGTGTACCTCTCACCTGGAGACCAGGAGACATCCTGCTCAGGGAATAGAGTGGCCAGACCTGCCCTACTGACGGTGGCAAATGCCCCACCCACCAACCTGTGCCCAGGCTGGTGGCACCATGGCGCAGACAGATGTGCTCCTGACCAAGCAGCCCGCCCCACAGACGGTGCCGGCATGCGAACTTCCCCCCAAGCTATACGATGTAGCTCGAAACACAGGTGCCTACACGTCCTCCGGCCTGGCCACCGCTGGCTTCCGCACAGCCAAGTACCTGGTGGATGAGTGGTTTCAGAACTGCTATGCCCACTACCACCAGGCCTTTGCTGACCGTGACCAGTCGGAGCGGCAGCGCCATGAGAGCTTGCAGCTGGCTGCCGAGACACAGACACTGGCACAGAGAACCCAGGAGGACTCTACCCGGAAGGTGGGCGAGCGTCTGCAGGACATGCACTGCTGGAAGTCGGAGCTGCAGCATGAGGTGGACGAACTGGTCGCTGAGACTGACAGGCTGCTGGACCAGAAGCAGCGGCTGGAGAGCTCCCTGGATGCCACAGCTGTGCCCTTTTCCATTGCCACTGACAACCTGCAGTGCCGAGAGCGTCGCCAGCACCCCGACCTCGTGCGTGACTACGTGGAGATGGAGCTGCTAAAGGTGTGGACCCCTTTGGTTCCCGGGGACCGGCAGACAGGGGCTACCCTCATGTTTCTGCTGGGAGCGTGACCTGCACAGGGGCCTGAGGATGGATACAGGTGTGCCCCCATGACACGGGCTGGCAGAGGCCTTGGTGCCCATGCTCCTCTGCATACACAGGCACAGAGAAGCTGGCGATAGGTTAGGGACCAGAATTAACTGGGTGTTAGGGCAGCTCCGGGCGGGGGGCAGAGTCAGGGCTCAGGCCACTCAGGAGGATGGTGCCATCCCTGGCCCCAGGAGTGGTCCTCACAGTAGACTTGGGGTGAGGCCTCTCTGTGCCCACAGCCCCAAGGGGCAGCCCCTCCCAGGAAGGCACCTGGTCCCCGAGACCCAGGGTCCTTTGAGGCTGTCAGCCTGGCTGTCCAGGGCTAGCTGGCAGGCTGATGCCCTCAGTGCCCTGGGTAGACAGCTGGGACAGACCCCAGTGCCCAGGGGGTGCTGGGTGCCAGACCAGTGGGAACTACTGTTGGTTGAACCTCTCAGCAACAGCAAAAGCCCCCATGCAGTGCACCGAATAGAATATTCAAATGCCCAAAATAAACCTGAGAAGGAAAAGTGGGGCTCATGCCCCATCTTCCAGGAAAGAGACCAGGGGTCCACAAGGCCCAAGGTCATCCAGCCAGGGGTCAGGTGCCAGCTGACCCCCCAGATCTCCCAGGTATTGCCCCAAATCTCAGCTCTCCCTGGGGCCACAGCAGCTCTGCAGTCATCAGATTCTTCAAGGACAGGGTCTTCCCCCCCAGGAGGCCGAGCTCATCCGAAACATTCAAGAACTGCTGAAAAGGACCATCATGCAGGCCATGAACCAGATTCGGTGAGTCTGCAGCCCCTAGGATGACCCCTGTTCCCCACGCCTTAGGCTGGTTTAGGGCAGGAAGTTGGGGCAACTAGGCCTGAGGCTCAGAGAAATGATGGCTTGCCCCAGGTTACAGCCAGGAGCACAGGCCAGGCAGGGGCACCAGGCAGGTGGGAGGTGTAGCAGATACCTGCGTGGCCTGGGGGGCCTGGGTGTCCACAGCCCAGGCCAGCATGGGTGCGGAGGGAGCAGCAGCTTCTGGACATTGGTGGCTAGGTGAACCTGGGCGTGCCAAGGACCCCATGCTGGGCACATGAGGTGTGCCTGCTGCTTGGGAATGTTTGCCCTGCCCAGCACCCTGGTGGGCCCAGCTCCCCCCCCCCCCCCCCCCCCCGTGCAAAACCATGGGCCCTGCCCACTGCTCTTAGGATGAACCTGGAACAGAAGGAGACATGCGAGATGGACTGGTCTGACAAGGTTGAGGCCTACAATATCGATGAAACCTGTGGCCGCTACCACAACCAGAGCACGGAGGTGCAATTCTACCCGCACTCCACCAAGCTGGAGGAGAGGTGGGCCATCCCAGCCTCTCCAAGGGATCCTCCACACAGACACCCTTCCCCACCTCCTTAGTCCTTGCAGCAACCCTCCCCAGATCCCGCCTAGGCTCCTGGTCCTTCTGCTGGGGGTTCTGCCCAGCCCTGCTGGCCTGAGGCCCTCACCACAGATGGCTCTTGTGAAGCTTTTCTGCTCCTGGGGATGCGCAGCCATCAGGACCCCTGCCCAAGTGCCCAGTCCCACAGTTTACCAGAGGGGCTGGGGGCTAAGGAAGGAGGCAGGACCCAAGGGTGGGGGGCGCCCCCTGCGGATGGGGGACCAGACATGGACGAACTAACCTGCAGCTCCATGAGGGGTCGGTAGGGGCGCTAAGCCTCCAACCATTGTAGTGCAGCCCTGGGGGTGCGGTGGGCATGGGGCGCACGGCTGGAGTGGAGCTGGGAAGGGGGCAGGAGGCACAGGGGGCGTGGGGCGGAGCTGGAGGCCACAGGGCAAAGCTAGGGTAGTAGTCACAGGAGGCACAAGTGACGTACGGGGCGTGGGGTCTCGAGGCGGCACTGAGGCTTGAGGGTGGTGGTTTGTGCTGGGGCGCTGGGGGCACGGAATTTCGGGGGAGCGGGGAGGGCCTGGTGGGCACCGGAGCGCTTGGCAGGTGTCTCCACCGACCGCGGCGCTGGCCCACTACCTGTCCACAGCGCCTCCACGTCCGAGACGTGGGCCAAGTTCACACAGGAAAACCTGTGCCGCGCGGAGCGCGAGCGCCTGGCCTCGGTCAACCTGCGGGGGCTCATTGACTGCATCCTGAGGGACATAGCCGAGGACCTGCGCCTGCAGTGCGACGCCGTGAACCTGGCCTACGGGCGCCGCTGCGAGGAGCTGGAGGACACGCGCTTCAAGCTGAAGCAACACCTGCACAAGGTGGGGCCCGGCGCTCCCAAGCCACGCCCAGGACGCATCCAGGCCACGTTAGGGCCAGCCCTGGGGCGGGGCGCCCATAACCAGAATGAGACCAGGCTCCTTGAGGCCCCGCCCCCCCCCCACTGTGGCCACTATGCCATGGTCACTACCTAGCCTCACCCCTGCCTCTCCTCTGCCCCTTCCATCCAGAAGGACCCCAAAGGCAGAGCCGATGAAAAACCAGGTGACATTGGGTGTGGTCTATTGTCATTGCCACCCTGATCTATTGGCAGTGACCAGGAGGGGCTGTCAGGTGTGAACAGGAGGGAAGGTGGGAGGGAAGATCCTGGCAGGGCTCTGGCCCCAGGCTCTCAGGGTGGCCTTTGCTGCCTCCAAGTCTCTCTGGTTCTTGGTTAAGGTTGGAGACTAGTGACCACCCGGGCTCGGAGGTATTCAAGCCAGAACTGCTGGACAACAGGCTTTGCTGTCTCACCCCAGCCCCCTGGGTTCTCTTGGGTGGGCTGAGGTAGCGGGACATGTTCTTGCATCTACGCCTCCTCCAGAGCTAGTGGACAGGCTGCTCACTGGACATAGCCCCAGGGTTCAGGGAGGAGGCCTGGCCCGTCCTGGCAGCCTGCCTTTCTGGGAGCTCATAGGGACTGTCCTGTGTGCAGACGCTGTGCGAGATCACAGACCAGGAGCACAATGTGGCTGCGCTGAAGCAGGCCATCAGGGACAAGGAGATGCCACTGAAGGTGGCTCAGACCCGCCTGTACCAGCGTTCGCACCGGCCCAACGTGGAGCTGTGCCGAGACAATGCCCAGTTCAGGTACAGTCCTGGGGTGGGCCAGGTCACCACCTTCACCGAGGTGCCATCCACCTGCCTCCAGGCCTCCCTTGGCCTCTAAGAGCCCCCCATGTACAACCCCCACCATGCACACAGCCCCACAGATGTGTTGAGGAGACAGTGGGGCCTGACCGGCACAGCTCACACACGCAGACGTTTGCACTCCCACCCAGCACATGGACACTGTACGGGCCTTGGGGGCGGGCACTGAGTATCAGGGCTTCAAGTGCCAGGGACACTGGGGTGCTTCCCACTTCATATGCTGTGCAGTCTTCCTGGTGAGGAATCTCGGGGTCTGAGTACACCAGCCTCATGGACCTGTCTACACCTCTGGTGTCATGGGGGACCCACGTCCTGGGCTGGAGCCATAGATGGGATCATGTCTTTTGTTTTTCTAATTTATTGAGTGCCCAGCTGTTCTTGTGAGCAGAATTACCCCCCACTCCCTGGCATTCCTCTTTCCCTGTCCCTCGATTTGTTCAGGAAACTTGGGGCCTCGCTCAGCTCCAAGGGGGTCGATCTGTCCTAATTCCAAATGCCAGGAATACAAGGAACCAAGGAGCCTTCGGGCCTCGAGTGGAGACCCAGCCCATTCCCCAGCTCTTCTGGTGGGCATCCCTTTGGGATTTGGGGGTCCGTTTATGGCTGAGCATCTTGGCCAGGACTCCTCAGCGTTAGAATCTTGGACCTCGCCCCTCCCAGCCCAAAGGCCTAGTGTTTTGGTGACAGCCCAGCTCACGTCCTCCCTCCACCAAACCCCCCAGGCTGGTGAGCGAGGTGGAAGAACTGAACATGTCCCTTATGGCGCTGAGGGAGAAGCTTCTGGAAGCAGAGCAGTCACTGCGCAACCTGGAGGACACACGCATGAGCCTGGAGAAGGACATCGCCGTCAAAACCAACAGCCTCTTCATCGACCGCCAGAAGTGCATGACCCACCGCGCCCGCTACCCCACCATCCTTCAGCTGGCCGGCTACCAGTGACCAGGGCGGGCACCATGGTGGGGTGGCCCTGCTGGCCTTGGCCAGACTCAGACAGGGACCCGACCCCCAACCCTAAAATAAAAAGCATGTTAGCTTTGCACTCGTGGCTTGAGGCTCAGGGTGGAGTCTAGATGCCATGGCCTGGGCAGGTGGGCTTGGCCTGTAGACCCCATTGTCCCAGCCTATGGGAGGCAAGGGCTCAGAACCTTTGCAGGGGCAGTTCTTCCTGCCCAGAGTGCCCCCGGTTACCATCTGGGGAGAGGGGTCAGCCAAGGTTGTCAGCCACCTCATTGCTCAAACGGAGTATTGGAGGCCTGGCCCTGCCCCAGCTCCAGGTCCTGCCACAGCTCCAGGGTCCTCCCCCACACCCATAGATAGGTTCCTCTATGCGCACGGGTCACCTGCCGGATGCTTCCGAGGAAGCATCACCTCCCATCCCACTAAAGCCACACCACTCGTCACAGCCTCTAGTCACTGCAGCGATAATCTGCTGTTTTTCTTTCATGTGCCCTGGATGCTGTCATGGTGAGGCTGGCTGGCTCTCCCCTCGTTAGCAGGAGGTGAACCTGGGGCAGAGGTGTCCGGACACACTGCTGGCCTGACTCTCCCCTGAGGGACTCGGCCCTGGGGGCTGTGGGCATCCACGCAGCACCTCAATGCCCTCGAGGGCACCAAGCCAGGCCTGGGGCAGTGACCATCCGGGAAACCCATGGGACCTCTCCCTGCCACCCCCACTTGACACGAGATGGGCACCTGGGGGGGGGCAAACCCTGAACTGGAGGGTGAGGAGTCTAGGCTGCAAGGGGGCCCCACTCCCAAACACCTTGGTCACCTTCAGGGGGCCAGTTTCCTCGTCTAGACGCCCCCTTGGCCAGTGAGTGAGTCGGGTGTATAGGGCCCCTGGTGCTCACCTGACTGCACACCACCCTGTACCCTATGTCCATGTCATGGGCAGAAATGCAGTCCCCAGAGAGGGCCAGGCACATCTGTGGAGGGGCAGGGGGTGGTGAGGCCTCTCTCGTGTGCCCCCGCATCACCCCACAGATGAACTCCTGGCTGCAGTCCCTTCCCCAGTGGCAGCTTATTGACGGGACTCCCAGGGACATGTCCTTTAAGAGGCTGGGAGACAGTAAGTCCCACTGTGAGCACTCCTGCCACCCAGACCCCCATTACTGCCCCACAGCTGAGGCGGTGTCCCCATCGGCGCTGAGGTTTTCCTCGTCCAGGGCCCCCAGAGACTGGCAGCTGATGGCAACGAAATGAAGGGGGCTGTGTGAAGCTCATTATCTCTAAAGCTTGGTGGTGGCACCAGGCAGGGAAGACAGCGGGCATAGTCCCAGGGGGCCGCCCGGCTGAGCCTCAATGCCTGTAGTTCTCTGATGGCCATCTGTGAGGTCAGAAATTTTGTCACACTGTGACCAGACCCTGGAGCTGAGCAGTGTCTCTAGGCCACATGTCAAATTCTCTGAGGCTTGAAGGAGAGTTAGGCTCTCTGGCAGGCTCGGGGTGGGGATAGACAGCTATGTCCACCCCAGGCTGGCCAGTTGCCATCAGCAGGGATTCGGCCCCTGCAGACACTCTGTGGGTGGCTGACCCTGTGGGGCCACGACACTCAGCCACTGCTTCCGTCGTCACGGAGGTGCCGGGCAGCAGGTCCGAATGATGGCTATTTCTGTCCGGGCGCCTCGTTCTCCTGCCGCCTGCTGAGTCACCCTTGATGTTCACTGACCACCTCCACTCAGAGCCCTGCCTTCCCGCCCACTCTAGCAAATGCACTGCAGTGTGGGTCCCAGAGGCCTGGGCTCAGCCCTGGCCTACGTCCCACATGCAGGGCACATTTAACTCACTGTCCTCTCCCCCAAGGGGACTCGCAATGAATGCTCATCTCTTTTGGGGGGTTGCTCTGCCTGCTGGCATCAGGGCGCAGGCAGCGGGAGGTGCAGGGAAGGACAGCAGCCCTACAGCATGACGAAGCCTGCGGCACCCCCCCACTGGCTGTGTTTCCTGCGCGTCCATCTAGACAGGGGACACTCCCGCCACTTCTGAGCGCATTGGTGCCCATTTACAGGTGGGAAACCGAGGCTCAGATGCAGGGAGCAGCAGAGCTCAGGCGTCTGCCTTCCTTGGGGAGCCCCAGAGGCAATAATGGGGGGGGCAGAGAGGAGCCCCCAGCCTGTCCTGGGCCCACCGGCTCCTCAGGGACGCGGTGATGAGAGGCTGGAACCTGGGCTACTCAGAACCAAACCACAAGGCAGGGGCTATAGAGGCTACAGGGAGGTGAGTCAGGGTTTAGGGCCTCAGGTCTTCATACCCCCTGCATTTGTGCCACCTGCCAACAAGGGGTAAAGACAGCTGTGCCCAAAAGGGGCTGCTGGGCCTGCTGGAGTGTGACCTGTCATCTCTGGAGGAGGCATGGGGGGGCCAGTCTGGAAACTGGCTCCAGCTGGCATAGCCCCAGCTGGCATAGCCCCTGCCCACAGTCCTCACCAGCCCCACTCACCCTCAGCCTGGCACAAGAAACCCCCCACAAGTGGGGGGGGCTTCTCCCCTTCTCCTCCTGTCCTTGCCCTACGTGGTTATCAGTGAGGAGGGCTGGAGTGGGGGAGCCGGGGAGAGAGCCAGACCCACGGATGGTCCCGGAACAGCCCATGGCTTGCCTGTCCCCCAGGCCATGGCTGGTCAGCTGCTGCCTCCCCCACAGGTGACCTGGCTTGGTGTGGGGGCAGGGGCGTATGCTTCCCAGCAATCGCATGTCCCCATGTCCAGAGGCCAAGGCGCCGGGTTCTGCTCCTGGACCCAGTGTCCAGCTGTCCAGACGCAGACCAGGGACAAGGCCAGACCCTGGTGTGGGCTCAGCTTCAGGCTCACAGTGGGCATAGCCCCTGCCTGCCATGGCCTGGGGGGCCCTGTGAGTCATTCCCGCCAGAGGGCATAACAGGGAACAACGCTTACCCATTAGGCTGGGCTGATGCCGAAGGCCCCCCAACAGGGAGTCACAGCAGGCTTCTCGCTCTGCTGGGCACCGTGAGCTGGGAGGGCTCCGGGGAGGCGGGAGCAGACACCACGGGTCTGGCCAGGTGCTGGCTTCATCCACCAGCTACAACCCATGGCACCGTCCCCCAATCCACCAGTCTCAGGCTCCCCAGGCCCTATAGCCATGCTATGGCACAGGGCTGGCAGGAGGACCTGGAGCCCCTGTGGCAAGGCTATGCAGACCCTTTGGCAAGTGGCGGGTGGAGGGCAGGACGGCGGCGGGCAGCAGGGCCCTGTGAGTCTCCTGCCGGGAGCTCTGAGGCTGGCCCAAGGCCTGTTGGTCTTGGATGGCCCAGGGGAAGCCGTGGGCGCCTGGGGCGGGCATGAAAGGGCTCTTTCACGGGCTCCTGGTGCAGTGACGCTGGAGACAGCCAGACAGGCAGCAGCACCCGACTGTGAAATGGTAACAGGGAGTGTGGGGGTAGGTGGGGGTCTTCACAGCCACCCTGGGCAGGCTGGGCTTGCAGGGGTCTGTGCTCTACTCAGACTCCAGCAGGAAGGAGGCTCCAGCCCAGGCTGTTTGCTGGGCAGGCCAGGTGGCCAGGATGCCCAGGACACCAGACCTCCAGGGGGACGAGGTGGGGGCTTGAGTGCCACAGGATTGCATATGGGGCAGGATCTCCTGGAGACACCCACTTATCAGATCCCTCCATGGGAGGCATCCAGGAGGGTCTTGCAGGGTTCAGTGAAGCTAGGAGGACTGGTCAGGGTCTGCTAGATTCCAGGGGAAGGGGAGGAGGAGGGAGGGTGAAGAGAAAGGGTCCCATCTTCCAGGGAAGCTCAGCCTGGGAGTGGGTCTCAGACCCACCATGCAAGAGGAAGGACCTAGCCCTGTGCTGCAGTCCCAGAGGGCTCCCTGAAGGAGGGGGCCTGGGTCTTTGCTCAGCAGGGCCGGGCTACAGGGGAGACTGAGGACGCTGACCTCACATGCCTGACCTTGCAGGAGACCAGCGCTGGCTGAGCCTCTTGGATGGAGCCCTGGGGAGACCAGGATAGGCAGGGCCCACTTGCTAGGGGAAACGGATGCCCAGGTGCATGCAGAGCTCACCCAGGGGCCTCCAGCAGCTGCTGATTGAGGCAGAAAGTGGTGCCCCCACCTTGTACGGATGGTCCAGGTGTCAGGCAGGGTGTCCTGTGGGAGGGGGCATGAAGGCAAGAGGCCCAGGACTGTTGGGCGTGAAAAACCATCTTTTCCACCTCGGGGTAGGTGGCCACATGGGGTAACTCAAGTTGGCCTCCCTCCTTCTGGGAGCTCAGGACTCAGGTGCTGCCCTCTGCCCAGTTAGGCAGCAGGCAGAAACTGCCTCCCGTCAGCCCCCACCCAACCTGGGACCCAGGCCCAGCCTCAGGGGGAGGGCAATGTTCCTCCTGGAAGCGGCCCGCCTCGAGGGCTCTGCCCCTCCACAGGAGGGTGGGGGGCCTTGGGGGGCTGATTCAGAGCCCCCTTGACCATGGCAGTTACCCCTGCATCTGCCAGGTGCAGGGTCCCCAGCATGGGAACTTTGGGGACCAGACTGCAGGCAGCCAGGGTGCCTGCGACAGGCCTGAGCAAGGGCTCTGGGAGGGGTAGGAGCCCGCAGAGGGAGCAGCCCCTGAGAAAAAGCCTGGAAACACCAGCTCGGATGGGGCGGGGCTGCCTGGGCCATGCTTGCTGGGGGTGCAAAAGGTGTGAGTTGTCCCCTGTGTGGGTGGGCCCCTCAGATTGGTGGCAGCCACGGTAGTGCTGTGTTGAGGAGGATTCTGAGGCCGTATTTAGGTGCAGGTGAAATAATGTGGAGATCCATTAGTGATGTCTGTCAGGGGTGGGGGCTGAGCGCCAGGGAGGGTTATGCCAGGTACTCTGTCTGGTGCAGGGTGAGGCTCTGGCCCTGCCCACTAGGGCACCTTGAGGGCCCCTGACTGTGTACCCCACACAGGTCCCCTATGCTGTCTCCTCAGACCAGGGGGCGGAGCTGGCTGCAGTGGGGCCTGGGATTCAGTGGGGCATCTTCTTCTCAGACGCGCTCCTCTCTACTCCCCGTCTCGTAGGCTCTGGCCCAGAGGGCAGCCTCTGCCCTTCTGCTCTTCCTGGTGCTGCCTGGGGAGGCCTGGCCTGGCCTGGGGCCGCCCCGGCGGCCGTGTGTGCACTGCTGCTGCCCAGCCTGGCCCCCGGCTGCCCCCGGCACATATGCCGCTGAGAGTGACGGGGCGGAGTGGGTGCAGCTGCCCCGCATTCGGCCCACCATCGACATCTCAATCCTCAAAGGTGAGTATCCTGGAGAGGTAGCCCCACCCTGTCTCCTGTCCCCATAGGGACACCCCACAGGGACGCCCACACTGAACAGAACACGACAGAGGCAGCAGGAGAGCAGGTGAAAGCCCCGAGGCCCTGATCTAGGCAGGGAACCTGGGGCCCCAGTGAGACACACGGAGTGGTGGTGGTTCCTTGCTTCCCACACCCTTGTAAAGGCCATCAGCCTCCACCCAGCCACCCTCTCAATTAGGAAGCGAGGTGGCCTGGAAACCTGAGGCTCCCTTCACTCTTACTATTCACCTGCCCTGCGGTGGCCTTGCCAGGCCCAGCCACCTAGGAAGTGGGGAAAGGAGGGCCAGGTACCCCGTGGGAGAAGGTGCGAGAGGCTGAGCTCAAGAGGGCATCATCCTAGGGGCTGGACAGCAGGCCACGTGAAGGTTGGCCTTGGGTACCAACTTCCCAGCCCCCTCGTCCTTCAAAATCCAGTTCAGACCCTTCCTTTGACAGCTGCCTGAACTTGTCATTCCCACTGTCCCCACCGTCCCCACATGAGAGTCGGCACAAGCCCCAGCACAGCCACGGCTTTGGGGTGTGGCTTCTCATTGGCCTGTGTGAGGGGCGGGTTGGCACCCATCTTACGCGTGAGGAGACTGAGGCTTGGGGAGGTGAGGTCACTCGCCAGGCCACATGGCCAGCAAGTGGATTCTAAGCCTTGACCAGTGGTTTCTGCTTGCTCCCCTGCAGGTGAGAAGGGCGAGACAGGGATCAGAGGTCACTCTGGTAGGAGTGGAAAGGAGGGCCCACGGGGTTCCCGGGGCCTCCAGGGACCCAAGGGCCAGAAGGGGAAGGTGGGGCCACCAGGCGCCCAATGCCAGCGCGCCTATGCGGCATTCTCCGTGGGCCGGCGTGAGGGGCTACACAGCACCGATGCCTTCCAGACCGTAACCTTTGACACGGAGCTGGTGAACCTGGATGGCAGCTTCGACCTGGCCTCTGGTCACTTCCTCTGCACTGTGCCCGGCGTGTATTTCCTGAGCCTCACCGTGCACACCTGGAATTACAAGGAGACCTACCTGCACATCATGTGCAACAGGCAGGCCACAGCCGTGCTGTACGCACAGCCCAGCGAGCGCAGTGTCATGCAGACCCAGAGTCTGTTGCTGCCGCTGGCCACTGGCGACACTGTCTGGGTGCGCCTGTTCCAGCGGGACCGTGACAACGCCATTTATGGTGAGGGCGGGGACCTCTACATCACCTTCAGCGGCCACCTAGTCATGCCAGCCACCGAGCTCTAACTGCTGCAGAGAGGCCCCCACATGACAGCCAGCCCTCAATGGCACTTGCTCTCCAGATACCCCCAGCCCGACCTCGCCCTCACAGCTGATACCAGCAATGCATGTGCACTGACCGCGTGTGTCTGCAGACGCAGAGCTGAGGCCAGGTGTGTGGCAGGAGCAAGACAGACTCAGGGGGCCTGCCCTGGTGGGGATGGGCACAAACCACGTGTGCACACCAAGAACTTCAGGAAGGAGAGGGTGGACATGTGGCAGGGCGGGTGGGGCACCTCTACACTTGATGGAGTTTGTCTCCTGTTTATAAAGGACTGTGCCAGCACCACTGCCGTGGAGACATTTGTCAAGCACCTACAGGGTGCCGGGCTGGACAGTGGGGAGGCCAGGAGTCAAACGCAGGCCCTGGCAGTATCAGGGCTAATGATTCTAGCAGTCAACATGCTAAATTCCAGGGGTGATAGAAACGGCAAATGGGGTGGGGATGAGGGTCATGTCCTCGGGTGAACACAGTCCAGCTCTGGGGGACTGATTTTCTGGGGTTCCCGGTGTCCCTTCATCTGTCTGGAATGGGCTGGATGGTGGAGGAAGAGCATATCTTGATGTGCACCAGAGCCTGAGAGAGCCCTACACCCACCTGGTGTCACCTCACACTTAGCTGTGGCTGAAGTCAGGGCCTGGCAGTGACGGAGCAGTCAGTAGGCCGCACCCCAGTCCCTGGAGGTAAGGGCAAAGGTGGAGCTTGGCCACTCTCACTCCACAGGCGGCCTCCGTGCACTCCATGGGTTGGAGCCACCAGGCTGTCCCACCCTGAAGGCCGCTCTGAGTCTGTTCTTTTTCTGCCATGTGTCCCCCAAACACTCCAGAAGCTTCAGCTCAACCTTTCTGGCCCTTCACTGCTGCCTCCTCCCTGGGCCACCCCACCCCCACCCCAGCATCTCCTCGGGTGGCTGCTCTCTCCTGAGCAAAGATTATGGGGCAATGAGGCTGCCAGGAATTACCAGAGCCTGGCAAGCTGGCTGAGGTCCTGGGCCATGTGGAGGTGGATGGAGCTGCAGCTGGCCAGCGAAGCAGGAGACGGACCCTCACAGAAGGAGGGTCCATAGGCCACCGGCTGGGGCGCAGGAGGTGTGAGGAGGTGGCTGCTGGCAGCTCCATGGCCCTCTCCCTGGAGGATGCACCAGGAGCAGGCTGCCCTCCAGGTGGACTGGGGCCTCATGGGTGCTGGGTAGGCACAGGCCCCCCTCAGTCCTTGTCTATCTCTGGGGCCCAGGGTGCACAGAATGCCCAGCCTGATCGGTCCTCCTTTTTCTCCCCCTCCCACCAGAACCCCAGCCCATCATGAGATGAACCCCACATCCACCTGGCCCCAGGGCTGGGGAGCCTTCTCCAGACAATGGTCAGCTGATGAGGGGAGGCAGGAAGGGGTGAAGGTGTGCTCATCCGTTTCACGAACAGGCACCTCCTTCCCTTTGCGCTGGGGGAGGGCATGAATCGAGAGCACAGCGGCCCTACCCACCACCGTGGAGCTCAGTTATCCCACAGGAACATCAACCCCGAGCTAAGGTTGACCCAGGAGCCATCCTACCCACTCTCAGGTGGAGGGCCAGGGGAAGGGACAGGGGCACAAAGGCCTAGTCAGGTGGGGAAATTGAGGCCGGCAGGGGTCGGCAGAACCCCCAAGTGTGCGTGGTGCTGGGAGCTGGCACCCCCATGGGCTGGACTGTCCCCCCGAAGTGTGGCTTCGATTGAAGAGAAGTGGGAAAAGGGGGCTCCCTTTGCTGTCCACGCAGGGCCTGTCTGCAGGGGGAGGGACTCTCTGCCAGCCATCCTCCCCAAGGCCCGGGTCTGTAGCCTCTTGAGCAGTAGACGCATCTCAAGGGCACACCATAAATCCTGTCCCCCATGTGCCCACCCACAGCTGCCCACCCACGGCCTGGCCCACGAGGGCTGTGAGGGTCCTTCCGATCTTTGGGGTTGCCATCTCAGGCCAGCGCTGAGCGAAAAGGGTAGGGGGTTCCTGGGGTCCCCGGTATGAGACCCTCATGCCCCATGTGCAGGCCCTACAGCTCCACAGGGAAGCTGAGATCCAGGGGCCGTAAGTCCCTGTGCTTGGACCTGAGTGGGGCTGTGACTCCAAACCCCCAGCACCAGCCCTGGGGCCCCCCATGCTGGGTCCTGGTTTCAGACAAAATAGAACCCTGCCCTGAAAAAGACACAGACAAGAAGGTCAGGACCAGCAGGGGTCTGTGCCCTGAGACCCAGCTCTTCAGGGGGCCTAAAGAAAACCCCTAACTCCCAGGAACCTCAAGGCCAGACCAGGCCCCACCATAGTACATGGCAGGTGGCAGCAGGACTCTGGGGGCTCATTACGGCCAAGGACTTGGGGTGGGACACCCTGAACCGGTGAAGCCATGGCCCCCACCAGAGATAGGAAGGGGGGCTGGGAGGGGGCCCTGGGATGCTGAGGTGGGCGGAGCCTCAGGCTGCACTTTGGCCCTTTGGCCTGTATCCTTTTATGGCTGGAATAGCCAAACACGCCCAGGGTGCTTGGCAATCAGGATCAAGTGCTAATGGGCACCCCCCAGGTGGGAGAGAGGGTTCCACTGTAGAGACCAAGGTGCCTGAATAGGAACGGGAGTCTGCAGGAGGATTGGAAGCACCCTGGCACCCCTCCATTCTCCCAGGTCCTGGACTCCCCTCCTACCCTGACCAGAACCCCCCAGCCCCTGAGTGCTTCAGGCCCGCCTGACCAGGAGGGGCCAGGAGGGAATCCCCTGCCTGCCAGCTCCAAACAAATCCTGTGTTCTTTCCAGCCTGCCATGTGCTACGGCCTCTGTCAGGGCCCCCAGGGAAACAATGCTGGAGCCTAGAATGCAGGGGTGGAAGCGGCAGGTGCCCCGGGCAGGGCAAGTCTGCAACCTGGCAGCCACTCCACCACCTTTTCACCTCATGGCATGAAATCCAGCCATCCATGCAGCCCAGGCAGGGTGGCACTGGGGCAGCAGGGCCAAGCCTCAAGGGACAGGCCCTTTTTCCAGCTGCAGACCCAGGAGGGCAGAGGAGGTCAGGCCAAGAAAGGCATCTGACAACCTCCAAGGGCCAAGGCCACCACATCCTCAGAGAACCAGGGGCCGGTGGGGGCATGCCCTGTGCATGACTGAGACCCCCACGGAGGGCCTTAGTGCATGCTGGGGGATGTGCCAGTGCGCATTGTTGAGGGTCCGGAACAGAAGACATTCCCCCTACACCCTTCAGATCTATTTATTTTGAAAAATAACAAGTGACTGAGAACTGGAGTAGGGGTAGGGGGTGGGACAAGATGAGGCAAAGTCACCATCTCTGCAAAGTGATAAAGGGCAACACCCTCGGTAAGAGGCTGGAGACACAAAAATCAATGAGGTCCTTGTCCCCCCGACCACTTAGAAGATGAGGGGGGAATTGACCCCGACCAGAATAGCAAGTGGGATCCCGCTCCATGGCTTGGTTGTAATCAGGAATGAACACCCATGGGCCATGGGAAGAAAGCTGGAAAACGCTTGAACACAGAGACGGCGACTGCAACCTTCTCCTGAGAGATGGGATCCCGCCCGGGCACCAATGTACCCATGTTAGTTTATCCATTTAGTGGAATTCCAAAACTCATCCGGTTTTAAAATTCAGGCGAAATTCATAGAACATAAAATTTACCATTTTTAAAGTGGACAATTCAGTGGCATTTATAAATAGCACGTTTACAATGTTGTGCAACCACCACCTCTATTTCCAGAACATTCTCATCATCCCCAAAGAAACCTGACCCTATTAGCAGTCACTCCATCACCCCTCCCCCAGCCCCTGCGTCTGTGTCCGAAAGCAAGGGAAGAGACCCTCTGAGAAAGGGCCTCACTGCCCTCCCCAGATGGGGGCCCATGGAGGGAGGTTTATTCAGGTGGAGCACCGCCCCCCCATCCCATCTCCAGATACATAGCCTGAAGGAGGAGGGAGAAGGTGGGCCGGGCACAGGTAGGAGCAAGGGGCCTGAAAGGAGGTAAGAGCCCCAGGACAGGGAGGGGCGGGGAGGAGAACCCTCGCTCAGGCTCCTGGGCGCCACGGGACCTTCAAGGTAAGGCCCCCACCTGGGCAGAACCTCCCATCGCTCAACATCACTGTTGTTCTTTCAACAAATGCCCTTCAGAGCTATGACAGCTGGACTCCCCCTCAGGAGCCAGGATGGCCTCTGCCAGTCTATACAGGACAGGAAGGTGCCCTTGGCCTCAGTGGAGGGAAGGCAGCAGAGTTGGGCTTAGGAACCCCCCACCAGCCAGGGTGGAAGAGGAATCGTGAACCTAGCTGTCTCTCCAGGTCCTCATCTCCACCCAGCCCTGAGATCCAGGGTTTTGCAGGGGCCCTGATAATTGACCAGCGAAGATGCTATTCTCAATGTCATTAGTCTCCCCGACACCCCCAAAGGACATCACAGATCTCTGTGGTCTCAGGTTCCTGTGGGAAGTTGTTGCTGGTGGCCACCCATTGTCCACCTGTCCCCCTGTCCCAGGACACCTGAGGGGGGTGGGCCTTCCTGACCCCTCCTCAGGACCCCACCCAGGGCACCCCAACATAGCTCCTGCTGATGGGGGTTGAGCTGGGAGCACAGCCTTGCTCAGCTCCAGGGCAGCCGGCCTCAGTTTCCCTCATTGCGGGGATACAGCCCTGACTCTGCCTGTGGGGGCTGCACTGCCATCACACTGCATTCCTACTCCACACCCTGCCCTGCCAGGCAAACAAGCCCCCCTGCCTCTGTCCCATCCCAGAGGCAGCCTCATCCTGCCCCCGGGAGCCGGATTTCCTGAGCAAGGTCACTGTGGAAGCCATTGGAGCCCAGCAGCCAATAAAACCCATCCATGTGGAGAGAGAGCCCATAAAACAAGTCACCCCCTGAGAGGCTGTGTGTTCTGTGCCACCCCCACCCCACTCAGGGCTGGGACCAGGACCTGCAAGCAGTGTGGTGGCTCTGTGGCCCCCACAGCTGTCCCCAGCATGAGGGAGGGCAACAGCCAGGCTGGGTTGTGTCCCCTAGCCTACCAGGGCCGGGTCCACTGGCTCCCAGGATTCATGCTCCTCCTGGGACACCCCTGCCCCACCCGACAAGCCCTACAGTGGATCCTCCTTCCCTTCTGCTTGGTGGCCCACCCTCGTTTGAGGCATCAGGGATTGTCCAAGTCTCTTCCCAGCTCCCACCCAAACCCAGGATGCATGGGCTGCCCGGAATCCCCCAGAACATCCCACAGGCTCATCCACCCACTGGGTCCATCAGGCCCCTGGCGCACGTGCACACACGCATGCACACACACATTCACACACACTCACACATGCACGTGCACACACGCATGCCCCTCTCGGGCAGGAATGGATCAGGACGCTGCTATTATCTGTACTCCCCACATGGGTACTCTTGGCTGGCACCACCCTGGGGAGGCAGCTCACACTGTCAAATCAATGGGGAGAAATTGATCCTGGAAGAGATTTCCGAGCCATCTGCTTGATCCCAAAGTCATTTTGAGGCGATTCACTTCACATTTAGATCCAGGGGAGTCCTGACCTTGGGGTGGAGACAGCAGGTCAGTTTCTCCTGGGGTACCTGCCCCTCCCCGGGAGGTCCCTAAGGCGGGGTGGAGGTGGCTTTGGCCACCAGCTCCCAGTGACTCCAATGCCAGGTTCTGTGGGTCCCACATGGAGGAGCCACCCCTCACCCCTGGGACTGAGCCCAATAGTGGCAGAGACTCAGCTTGGGGTCCTGGAGGCGGCCGGGTCCCCACACACCTAGGGACGGGGCCCCCAAATGAGCCTCCCACTCCCTGGACCCACCAGCCACAAAAGGAGCTGACCCCCTCTGTATACTTGGAGGCCAAATCCTCATCCCACCCCTCCCAGGAAGTGAGAAGGGCCACAGCCACCCAGCCCCAAGGCAAATGCCCATCAATTCTTTTAGCCCCGATTGTTTACACTTTCCACTGTGTTGCTACCATCTAAGTGCCCGCTGACCACTTCCAGCTGGGTGTTTGCCCACCCCCACTCCGCCTCCTCCTATGTGCACCGGCTTCGATTATGGCTCTAGGGACAATATTTGCTTTGGGAAAGAGTCAAACATTTATTCTCTAATTTATTCAGGAGACACGAGCGCCCTCGTTACGCCATTGCGTTCTCAGGGCTTAGCCTCTGTCCGGGGTTGGTGCCAAGGCCCGGGCAGCACTGACTGGCTTTTCCCCAGCCCAACATGGCTCCCCCAGCTCCCTGTGCCCTCCTGAGGGATGGGGTCCTGCTCTGAGCTGACAGAGGAAGCCCCAGTGAGGTGGCACTGGGCAGGGCTGTCCCAGGTGGGGGCCTGCAGGTTGAGCGAGTGAGTCCCTGCACCCTGGTCCTTCTCCTTTCAGCCTCCGATAGAGGCCCACGGGACCCAGGACCCCAACAAGGCATTTTCTCTGAGACCCCATTGTGGGCCTAAGGCTGCAGAAGTTGCCAGCATTTCTAGGGGGTAGATGAGACCCCTCTAGTCTGGGGGATGCAGAATTCCTCAGGGGCCTGGCATTTGCTGGCATTTGCATCCACCCACACAGCCTTTCCAAGCTGGCTGCTATTTGTACTGAGAGGCTGTTTCCCCCACTGCTGTCTGCATCTCTCTCCTTTTCTGCTTCGTTCTCCCTCCCTCTCCAGCCCAGAGCCCCTGCCGAAAGCAGAAGAGATGGCTGTAGGTTCACCTGCCACCTCCCCAGGATCGCCTCTGCCGGTGCCCCAGGCCCCCTGCACTGGGCCCCTCTGGACACCTGTGCTCCACCCACCCACCCAGAAGCCTGGGGGCCGACTCCCCACCTCCAACCTCAGCCCCTTTGTGCTTGCTGCCTTCTTCCCCACACACTCCCACAGTGGAACAAATGGCCCCGGCGCCTGGCTCCCCACACCAGGGGCCAGGGGCCAGCAGGAAGGGAGATGCAGTAGCGGGGTTGGCTTGGCAGGCCAGGAGTCTCCTCTGGCATCACGTAGATGCCCTGGGGGCGTTTGCAGCTTATTCCCTCACATCTGCCACCTCCAAAGTCAATAGCTCCCAGGTCCCAGAAGGCAGGGGTGGAGGGGGTGGGGCATAGGCCAGAACCCAGCACATTCAGCATCTTTAATGTCACAGAGTAGCACTTGATGCTGACCAGGTGAAGCAGGGCTGAGCTGAGGAAGGGCACGTGTGATGAGAAGATAGGGCTGGGTGGGCGGTCACGCAGCTCACACTAATGGCCACTCCCCTGGCCTGGGAGGCTGGTACCCCTGGGCCTCTCCCGCCCACCCCCTAAGACCCCCGAACCCTGGCCTGCATGAGAATAGGCAGGTGGAAGTGGCAGCCCGACACTGCAGGACCACCCACAGCCTTGCCCCCAGACAGCTGTCCTCACACCGTGGAGAGCATCCAGGCTGCTGGGGGGCACCTCAACAGGGCCCGTGTCTTAGGGGAGGGCTTGGCCTATGGCCCTGCCCAGCGGGAAATTCAGACCAGGCAGGGGCCGCCAGGGGCCTTCTACAACCTGCTGGTTTGCATGAGCCCATTGGCCTCAGAGCTGCGTGTGGCCAGCGTGGCCTCCTGTAGCCGGCTGCTCTTGTTGGGCCGTGGCTCCGTGGCATCCACGTCCTCAGTGCCATAGTCCTTGCGGAAGCACAGAACCTTCCGGAAGCTCTGGCGGAAGTTGTCAGAGAGGAAGCCATAGAGCACAGGGTTGGCGCAGCTGTTGGCATAGGACAGGATGACCACGAAGAAGTAGGTGCCAGCGGCAACGGGCTCCTCGGGCAGGACGACGGCCAGGTTGACGATGTTGATGATGAAGAAGGGCAGCCAGCAGCCCACGAACACCAGCACCACCACCACCACCATGCGCGTCACCTTGCGCTCTGAGCGCCGCCGTGCGGACCCCACGCGCACACCCGATGCCTTCACCTTCACCACGATGAGCAGGTAGCACAGGCAGATGACCAGCAGTGGCCCAAAGAAGCCCAGCACGGACGTGTAGATGATGAAGACGGCTCCCCACAGGCCCACAGGCTCCGGCCAGCTGAGGTTGCAGGTATCCCAGCCTTCCTGGATGTCCGCGAAGACCACCAGCGGCAGAGACATGAGCAGCGAGAAGGTCCAGACCGCAGCGCTGGCCAGCTTGGCCACTCGTGGGCGACGCCACCGTGTGGAGCGGATGGGGTGGACAACGGCCAGGTAGCGGTCCACACTCATGACCGTCAGGCAGAAGATGCTGGTGAACTGGTTGATGCCATCCAGCGTCATAACCAGGCGGCAGAGCACGGGGCCAAAGGGCCAGTAGGAGACGGCGTTCTGCGTGGCCAGGAAGGGCAGCCCCAGCATGAGGAGCACGTCGGCCACTGCCAGGTTGAGGATGTAGATGTTGGTCACCGTTTTCATCTTGGCATGGCGCAGCACCACGTAGATGACCAGCATATTGCCACCCAGTCCCACTGTGCACACCAGCAGATAAATCACAGGCACCACCACCGCGCGGGCCCCCGGTGAGGGCGCGGGCCCCGCCATCGTCCCATTCTCACCACCTCCACTGGTAGCTGCGGAGGAGGTGTTCCAGCCCGCTGGTGTGGAGGTGGGGAACAGAGGCTCCATCTCAGCCACCGAGGCCAGTGGCCTGTCCTCTCTGCAGGACAAGAAGGGAGGATACGGGCAATTAATCGGATGGCCAGGCATTTCCTCTCCCTGGGCCCCGCCTGGCCCAGGAGGCGCAGGATTACCCCTCATCGTAGGGTAAACATGATTACTCATGTTCAACTCAGCTGGGAATCACATTAAACAAATTGTTTGGAAAAAGAAGCCCAGAGAGGAAGGAGCAGGGGGACAGCTGCTGTGAGTCGAGACATCAAGACGTCGTCTGTTGATACCGTGAGACCTGCCCATCCCTACACCCCCTCACTGCCCCAGGATGGTCCCTCGATCAGCCATAGCCATCCTTGAGTATGAGGACTCACTGAAGCATCACTACCCCCACCTCGAAGGTAAGGGACTGAGGATGGTGGGAGTCACCTCCCCAGAGGCCCTCAGAACAGGTGGAGAGGGACGGGGGTGGGGAGAGTGATTAGGAAGCTGATACATGGGCCAGGCACAGGAAGCTCCTCACACCCAACTGACGCCAGCTAGACGTGCACAATGCCCACAGAGCCCTTCTCTCCTGGGGGACCCCAAAACTGGGCCCCAGCTGACCTCTTAGAACAATTAGAAGGGTGCCAGGCCTCCATGTGGCCAAGGAGCCAGACCTGAGACTGCACAGGCTTCGCCAGTGTCCACGGGCTCCCAGGAACACTGTCCCCTGGTGAGTGGCACCCATGTCACCCCAGCCATGAGGAGTTGTTTCCCCTGTCCCCTCAGCTGCCGGCCAGCCCACTTGCTGCAGCGTGGATGTTGCTGGGCCAAGGAAATGACCCGGGAAACAGCCGCACAATGTGCGGTCATTGCAGCTGTGAGGGACACACTATGGGCACACACTCTGGGGCAGGGTCCGTCACCGGCACAGCAATGATAGTATTTCTTAAGCCCCAGGAAGAGGGCACAGTGCGGGAACAGGCAGAGAGGACCTCCACACACATCGTAATGAGGGAACACAAAATGGACAGAATAATTAGAGCTAATCATAGCCTGTGCCACAGGCCAGGAGGAAATGCATGCACGCATGCGTGCACGTGTGTGGGTTGAGGGGGAAAGAGCTAGAGAGCCGGACCTCGGGAGAGGGAGTGTGAAAGGGGACAATTTGGGGAGAGTGGGTGGAAGGAAAGACTTGAGCTATGTGCACGGGGTTTTGTAGAGAAAGAGCTAGGACAAAGACAGGAAAGCATTAATATCTGCAGTTCAAGGTGATGGGCGCATGTGTATTTGTTATAGAGTTTCTGTACTTTTTTGGTATATTTAAAATATTTATAAAAACGGTGAGTTCAAAAGAAAATAAACACCTCCACTGATGAGGAGAGGAGAAAGGGGATACAGATGGGGCTGATACCTCAAGCTCCACACTATACAGGGAATGGGGGTTAGCAGGGAGCCTAAGTGCCGCTGGGAGACCCAGACAAGGGCCTGAAAGGTGCTGGAAAAGGCCCTGATGATCCAGCTAGGGTCACTTAGGCCCAGTGGCCCCTCCAGAGTCCTGCTCAGCTGACCCCAAGTCATCTCAGAACAGACAATGTGCCCAGTGGATGCCAGTCTTGGGTTGGAGGAGGCAATTGAAATCCGATGGTGATGATGGTGGTGGTGGTGGTGGTGGTGGTGGGAGCCCAGAATAAACAACATTGACAATGACAGAAAGAAACCCTCTGCTCCTTGGGTGGACACATTGGACTTTCCAAGTTCACTCGGCAAATCCACACTAGGAAACATGACCTATAAAATCAAAAGTGGGAAGGTGGCTCAGCAGATTCATTTCAGGTGAAATAAAAATATTGTGACTTTGGGCCGGCCGAGTGGCGCGATGGTTAAGAACTGGCTTGGGACGCCAGAGGGCCCCATTTCGGATCCCACATATGAGGGCCAGTGACACTGCCCTCCACAGCTAAGATGTTGAACAACAGCTCAACCTGGAGCTGGGCTGCCATGAGTCACTGGTGACGGTGTAGGCTGCAGCCCCTGTGGCAGTGGGTTGCCATGGGCTACCGTGTGTAGCCAGCAGCCGCAGTGAGCGGCCGTCCAGAAGCCGGCGACTGATCTGCCTCACCCGGGAAGAGCGCAATGATGGTGCCAACTTGGGCCAGTGAAGCAACATCCTCCACAACCAGACTGAAGAACAAAACGACAGCAACTTGTCTGTTCCCCTTCCCCCAATTCCCCAGCACTGTTCCCATCCCCCCAATTCCCCAATAGAAATCTTAAAAATATATATATATATATATATATATATATAGTGACTTTAACAAGCATGCCCAAGATATGTTCAATATGGTTAGGATCCTCAACAAGGCATGGATAAAAATATTGTGAAATAAATTTTGCTTTAATGAACAAGTATCTATTTTTGAACTACAACTCTGGGGTGTGAAAAAAATCATCATTTGGGGAAAAAAAAACCCCACAAAAGTCAGGATCAACTCCAGTCTCGATACAGTGGAAGACAGAATTGACAAATTGGAAGAGGGGCAGAGGGAGTCCCTCAGAGTGTGGTGCAGAGGGGAGGAGGTTGCAGAAAGCTCTGAGTACTGGGAGGAGGGCACAGACCCGTTATTCAGAGAGGATGGCTGGGCACCTGCAAAACTAACCCAAAACAAAAATCCTGTGCCAACCTTTCCTGAACAGAACAAAATAGCAGAATAAACATAACATAGCATCAGAGTTGATCTACAGAGCATCAAGGGTAAGGGGGAAATCCTAAAGGACGCCAGTGGGGACACAAAAGGAAACCCACGAGGAGTGAGGATCAGGACCGTCTCCGTCAGCTACAAGGACCACAGGAGCCAGCAGGAGAAAGTCTGTCACCTGGATTCCTTACCAGGAGGGGAAAGAGACATTTTCTGTGTGTCCCTGGTTTTGCTACTCCTGGTGCTGAGCTCTCCTTACTTGGGTTTTGTGACCTGGTAGGGGGCATGTGACAAAAACTTTATTTTATTTTATTTTATTTTAAGGTTTTTATTGGGGAATTGGGGGATGGGAAAAACTTTATTTTAAAAAGGCCAAAGTATGATGTTTGGGGATGACTGCATTTCAAGACAAAGCTGGGGCCCCTTGGGCAGCCTTCAGAGCCCCTGGTCAGAAGGCAATTCCCAGGTTGGGGGAGCCCACGCTTCCCAGGCGCTGTACCTATCTGGGAGGAGGGTCTCCTCGGCTCTCAAACAAGGGCCACCTGTAGGCTCACTCCAATAAGAGGGGAGTCCACCTGCTGATCTCTGCTCCCCATGCCTGGTGCAGAGGGGCCCCTCCTCACATTTTAAAAGAAATACCGGAGAAAATGTTCTGTTCACCCATGGTGGGAGCAGGACTCAGATGTAGCCAGGGCCCGCGTTCCCAGGCAGGTGGTGGATAAATGCACGTTTAATTCTACATCAGACACACGCCTTGTCTTCATAAGCTCTCAGTTGCTCAGGGCTCCTCTAAGGCCGCTGCCAGGTGCCCAGGCAGCCCAGAATCCACAGCACGCAGAGCAAACTGTCAGGGCCCCCTTGCACTCCCCCACCAAACACCCCACCTCCTGAGTTAGACTTCAGAGCAGTGCAGAACAAATTTAGGCCACTATTAGTGCACCTGCCTCTTGGAACATAATTCCATAAGAGCCATTATTCAGAAGCAGCAATCTCCTTAGTCACAGAAATTACACACTCATGGGAAAATTGTCCCAGAGGGCCTTTGCCCTGTGGGCGAAGGATTCAACAGGCAGGGGGCTGTGGAACCAATCATGAGCCCATGCTGGGAGCTTGCTGACTCAGAGCCCCCATCAAGAAGGATCTGCCCACCCACTGATGTGGCACAGGGAACAGACCCCAGCCTTTCACCCCCTGTCCCAGCCCACTCCCACATACTGGCTGAGTGATCTTAGGTAAGCCACGCCATTTCTCTGAGCCCTGACTTCCTAGAATAGGCGACTCCTATGAAATGCAATCTCGCTGAACAGATGAAATAAGCTCAGGTGTGAAAGACGCTGCGTGCAGTGCCTGGCACGCAGTGGGTGCTCAATGATGGCTGCCGCTCGCCTGCCCCAAGTAGCCCTGCCTCTCCTCCCCAGTGTCAGGGAAAGTGCCTACCCAGGACTCCTCGGAGAAGCGGGCAGAGCTTTCCTAGGGGCCTGAGGACAGATACAGGTCTCAGTGTCAAGTGCTCCATGCCCCAGCAGGTCCAGCCTGCGCCTCTCCAACCCTTTTCAGGCTAGCGTGTCATGCAGTTAGCAGGAGAGATCTGCATCCTCCACAGGAACAGCTGCAGTGTGGAGAAACTGTGGAAACCACCAGGTTTCATCTCAGAGCCCACACCTCAACCGGGAGGCAGCAGAAGCACAGGTGCTGCCCCCACCTGTGGGGCAGGGCAAATGTGGGGACATACTGGCACCATCCAAGGCCCACCACCACCACCACCACCAGGCCTGCCTCTCCCAGGACAAGCTTTCAGACTTCTGCTTCATACTCTAGGGCGAGCTGGTGGCAGCCTGCCTTCCCCCTAGGAGGGCAGCCAGTGGCAACCCCACTCCTGCCCTCCCTCAAACACGCTCCATCTGTTCTAAAGCAGCCTGTGGTCAGGGCCAGAATCCCTTCCCAGTGGGAGGGACACAGGTGGGTGTGGGCAGGCACGGGAGCCCCTCTGTGGGGTCTGCACGCTCACTAAGATGTTTCCAGGACCACATTTCACCCTCAGCACACTTTATCAGAAATCCAGTTCATTATTTTACCAGGAACCAGCGGTGGAGCATTGTCACTGTTGCTATCCACCACCTTCTGCCCCGGAAGCCCCCAGTTCTCCCCCCAAGTGGCTGACTGTCCCCAGAAGCCTGTTCTCTTCAGAAGAGGCTGAGCTGCAGCCAGAACTGTCTCATACTTTGGGCAGCATGAGCTTTCCGGCTCTCTGCCTCCAGGAGCACCCCAGGCCAGCCAGCAGGCCAGGGACAGTGGGCCAGGCAGGTGGGCAGGTGAGGGACCACATGGTCCCAGTGTGGGGAGACCGCACACACAGTGGACTTCCAGGGCAAGTGTTCCCTTCTGGGGAGGAGGCAGGAGTGCCCCGGAGTGCAGGTGCCAAGCCGCGGAGAGTGGGGTCTCCGTTTCCAGCCAGCAGGGGCGGCACCCCCTCTCCTCTTCAGTCCGGGGTGAAGCACCCAACCGCTCTTCCTGCAACCTTCCCATCACTGGCTGCTTCCCCTCTGGGCCAAATGGCAGGCCCCCACCGCGACAGCCGATGCCCCCGCGTAGCCGCGGTTCCTACTATCTCGGCCCTCAGATCTCCGCACCCACTCCCCCAGCCACAGCTTCCAGCGAACCCTCCCAGCCGCGCTGCTCACTCTCGGCAACCCCCAGGGCGAGCCCGACTGGGGCGCCCACCACGGGTAGGTCGGGCAGGGCAGGGAGACGCGCGGTGTGCAGTCTCCCTGGAGCCCTCTGCCCTGACCGTGGCTCACCCGGTCCAAGGTCAGCGGATGATGAGGGTAAGGGGAGCGAGGCAGTTGGTGGGGATGGAGTGGCCGAGACTGGGGAGCGGACGGAAAGGGAGGAGAGGAACCCAGGGCGGTAATAAGTAAACCCCGGGGGTGCACAGAGGGCGCGTGGGGCACAGGGCGCGCCACAGGCCGGGCGCGGGGAGCGCGGTCCGACCACAGGCGCCGCGGGACCCCGGGCGCAGGGTGGTGAGAATCCCGGGGAGGGTAACTGAGATCTGTGTGAGACCCCAGCGAGAGCGGAGGACAGGGGCTCCAGTGAGGATACAGGGCCGAGGTGAGGGGGGAAGGAGGTAGGACAGGAAAGGAGCAGGGGCGCGGCACTCACCCAGCGGCGGCGATCTCTGGCCCGCGGGAAGCCAAATGCCTCCCGCGACGCTCTCTCCGGCTCCGGGCTCCGGGCACCGGCTGGGAGGCGGGGCCGGGCGGGGCGAGCGTATGG